TATCACAGGTATCGATACGAAGACACATTACAATGAGAGATTAATGGAGATGTAAATCATTAGTGTAAATGAATGTAAGGTATGTTTATGCTTATGTTTCTGTATGGGCGATGACATCCCAATGTTTTAATATAAATAAAATACATTTCTTCGGAAATGCTTTGATAATATTATTATCATTTTTTCTGGGAACAAATTCCGCAATACTATTTTTCAAAAAGGATACTCTGCTTTTTAAATAAGCATAAATAAAAATTTTAAAATGACCGTGAATTTGGAGATGTCACATTTTGTCCTAAAGTTTATATCTTAAGGAGAACTATGACTCTCCTTTTTGCACTTTTAGTCAAAACTCAACCAATCTCTAAGTATCGTTTTGACGTAATTAATTTTAATTACGCGATTGATTTTTATTTTTACTTAATCTATAACTCTTTCATTTGGAGTCGGATTTTTACAAATCTTATATCCTTGGGATCACGTCACCGAATACTTTCTAAATACGTTAACCATTTTAAAAAGATGGTAAAACTTTTTGGACGCTTATTTTTTAGCCTAACAATCGATTTAATTATAAATGTAACGGCATATTTGATTTTTATTATCTCATAAATCAAATATTACAATATTAAGCTATTATATTTATTTTTCTACTATCTCCTAACGATGATCAGTGATGGAATCTTCTCGGTTGTCACAATTTGATCATACTAAGTCATTGAAATTGATTCGACAAGTTAATGAATGTATTTGATCATACTAAGTCATTGAAATTGATTCGACAAGTTAATGAATGTATTTGATCATACTAAGTCATTGAAATTGATTCGACAAGTTAATGAATGTATTTAATCATATTAAGTCGTTGAAATTGATTGGACTTAATCTAGTGGCAATGCTTTAAACTCGTGTTTGGTTATCAGACATGTCGACTCAAGTGGCCTAGGTCAAGTCAAATTTGACTCGATCGGGTAAAAGGATGTGAAACAAACTTGTTTTGTTTGTAACTTTTGTAATTCAACTTCATGCACCTTCCCTTGCAAACAAAAATTATGTTGTTACTTTTATTGATGATGCATCTAGATATTGTTATGACTCTTTGCTACATTCATCAACCTCTCCTGCGACCTAAGCCCTCCAGCCAAAGTCGTTGAAGTAGCGTTCTTAGAATTGGTTTTGGATCCATCTTTTGTGTAATTTGAAGATAGTGACGACATGGTGATTACTTGACACAATTGACGGACAAAAATATCTTTTGTCTGCCATAAAGATCGTACATCTGCCTTGTTTTGAGGGATTGTGAACAATAATATACCTTATTTGACTCATACTATAATCCTTCTATTTGGGTTTGTCAAATCTTTGTCATCATAGTCCATGTCTTTTTGTTATGATATCTTGTTGGTATATATGTAAGAGCTCCTTTTTTGTAACAGGTAGATTTTGATGATTAAAAGTTATAGTTAAAACTCTCTTTAAAATTCTTCATTTACCTTCATGGATCATTGGTCTTTGTGGTTTTTGAAGTGTTCTATTTATCATTAATCATGGTGGCTCGTTCCTTTATGATTAATCCCAATGGCTAAAATCTTCACGAATTAGTGTAGTGGAATTGTTATCCTTTTATTTATTCATCAAGTTTGGTCTAGGAAAAGTTACGTATAGGGTCGTTTGTTCAGTCAAAAGTAAACAAGAAAAGATAAACAAACCCTTTCAACTCCATTACAATCTTGAAATTCCTAAACTAAAAAAATGTAATAATAATAAAAATAAGACCCAAACATGTAAAATTGTGTTGCCATGTCATCACTCCACAAGGTCACCTTTTGTCATCATTTTTAAATGAGAGCATGCATTTAGTTTGAATAAATAAAATGTACCGGCTCTTAATATATCATGTTTTCTCTAATATAAAAAATGATTTTTCTAAAATTTTGAATTATGTAGAGTTGATTAAAAATGTTAAGCTTCGTTTTTTAGATTCTAAGGTCGTCCACATCAGTGCAATGTGTCACATCACTAATCTTTCAATTGTGTCACATCAGTTTTTCAATGACTATTCATATCATTGCAATAACACTCATCTTTTAAAAGTGGTCAAGTGCAATAACACTCATCTTTTAAAAGTGGTCATCACTGTCACATCAACAATTACTTTATATATATATATATATATATATATATATATATATATATTAAATATTCGTATTTACTCAATAATAAATAAACATAAATTTAATTACTATAATTAAAATAATAGTTTTAAAATAAAATAACAAAATAATAATAAATATTAAATTTATTTCACTTTATTAATTATTTAAATATTAAGACGTTACAAAAACTTGAAGTACAAAACGAATATTACAATATTAATCATCATTTTCTTCATCTCCAGATCAATTCCAAATCTCTTCAATCAAATCCGCTTGTAATTGGTGATTTATGGATCTGTTACGAATTTTTGCATGACTCCGAAGATACACTTCATATGAGGGAAGACGACTTCGGGAAATTTCAGGCCTAACTATATTCAAATTAACATCATTATATGTATGATCAAATTGAAGAATATATGAATCACGTTCATCTTCTACAATCATATTGTGCATAATGACACATGCTTTCATTATTTCTCCAATTATTTCCTTGCACCACATACACGATGGTCCACTAATAATAGCAAACCTTGCTTGTAATACGTCAAACGCTCTTTCAACATCTTTCATATCCACCTCTTGTTTCTTTACAAATGATGCATGTTTCGGTCCTTGAGGTAATGGTATTGATTTTACAAAAAGTAGTCCAATTAGGATAAATTCCATTTGTGAGGTAGTAACCTAAATTGTAATTGTTAGCATTCACTTGGAAGTTAACCTTTGATGCTCTCCCTTCTAACACCTCGTGAAAAATAAGAGAACGATCTAACACATTAATGTCATTTAATGTACCTTACCTGGAAGACCAAAAAAAGCATGTCATATCCACAAATCTTGTGACGCAACAACTTCTAACATTATTGTTGGACTTTTATGATCTCCTTTAGCATATTGGTCATGCCATGCAACTGGACACAAATCCTCGTATGCCAATATACAATAGTCCAATGATGAACCCTAGTTTTCAAATGCCTCCCGGTTTCGGTTTTGGTCCACCAAATTTTCAAATGTCATTTTACCCGCATATACCAAATTTTCAACCACATCCGGTGCAAGAGAAACCAAGCAACGCTAAAAGAAAAACTACGCAAACGAGAAAGAGTAGTCGATAGACAACACAAGATGACTTATTGTTGTGTAGTTCATGGCTTAACATAGGCAAAGACGCAACAATTGGTACCGATCAACATAGATCAGACTTTTGGCGTCGTGTAGCCAAATATTACGATATGTATCATGATAAAACTACCCAGGCGGAGAATTGTTGGAGGAGACTAAATCATGATGTCTCTAAGTTTGTTGGATGTTATGAACAAATAAATGAAGAAGACAAAAAATAAATAGGGCTCTAGCATTATATATTTCATCAGAGGGTTCCAAAAATTCACTTTTTTGCACGTTTGGATGGCATTACGTGATGAAGAGAAATGGTGTACTAGTATACAAGAAAGACAAAGAGATGCCAACAAAATGAAATCTATTGGGCCAAAGAGGACTAAGAATAATATATCCGGCGAATATACGTCATCATCCTCAAATATAAACATATCAGTTAATGAGCCAATATCAAATCCTCGTCCAATGGGAAGAAAAGCTTCTAAAGGTAAAGGGAAACAAACACCAATGTCAAGCACCTCTCTTGAAAGTATACAAGATACGATGCAAACCCAAATTAATATTGAGATGGAAAAAATAAACATAATGAAAGAATACATAACTTTGAAAGACCACGATATGAAAAAAAGGTGGACGACAAAAGAGTAAACTAGCGATGAAATTATTAGAAGGTGGTCCATCAATATTGTCAGAAAAACAAAGAAAGTTGTATGAAATGTTACTTAATATGTTATTAAACGGAAAATGATGTCAATTTTATGTACTCTTATCAATTTCGTTTAAATAATTGTATTTCTTTTAATTTAATATGTTTATGATCATATATACTTTAAATAAATAATAGTTATTAATATTTGTTAATTAAATAATAATTAAAATTAAAATTAAGTTTGATATGCTAAACATATATCAACGAACGATATATATATATATATATATATATATATATATATATATATATATATATAATAGTAAAGATAGTTTAAATAAATAAAATACTAAAATCGAAAAGCATTGTTTAATATTAAATATAACTTTGCAAGGCTTTCCATATTTGCAAGAAGGTGGTTTATGTAGCATACAAAATTGAAGATAAGTAATTGCTTGCTTGCAAAAGTAATTGCTAGATGCCGATGTCGGTGGCCTAAGCAAGGTTGTCAAGATCGGGATCCTACCTAGGATCGTTTTTGGGTTTGCAAGATCGGAATCGTAAGATCGGGATCGAGATCCTAAGATCCCACAAAATAAAATATAATTTTAATTTTTAATCATTAAAATATTTTAAACATTAAATTTTTCGTTCAAAAGTTATAAAAACTTCAAAATATTAGTCATAAATCACAATACAAAATGATAAATGATAAATTGGTAAAGGATAAAAGACATAAAAATGTAAAAAAAAAATTCATTTGCAAAAAAAAAAAAAAAAAAAAAAAAGGAAGGTAGGATCGGATCGGATTTTGATCCTACGATCCTACCTACGATCTTACGATCCTACCTACGATCCTACATCAAATACGATCTTTTTACGATCCGGATCGTTTTTCATACCTAGGATCGTAAGATCCTACGATCAAGATCGCGATTTTGACAACCATGGGTCTAAGTTTCCAAAATCTTAAATTTACATGGTGTTTTTTTTTCAAAACATTATATTTGTTCAAATAACACTCATAATTTGTGCAAGACTTGAAGAAAGCATACAAAAAAAAAAAAAAAAAAAAAGACAATCCTGAAAACATACACACCAGTTTAAATCGAATTTCCTTGTATCACAGAAAAGAGTATTTAAAGAAGAATAAAAAAAGATTGGGATGATTTTTATATGTTATTGTTTGATCTTAATAAAGCCATTGTTGGACCAAGTGCACTTCCTCTTAAGGCTCGATATGACCATCGATTCCATTCAGAATCCTTCTTCTTTGTCTCTTCATTTGCTTCCACTTCCAGTAGTAATTGTGATTTCTTTTTGTTTAATGCCTCCATCACTTCACTCCATGTCTTATTATTATTATTACCATTCCCTTCTTTGTTTCTTACCACTGCTTCACAAACTAATAAACAATCCATCCATTAATCTCATATATTACCTTATTCTATGATTTTGTTTATTCAAGAATTATTGACAAGTAGTGTTATAAAATATACCTGGACTTGGGTCTTTAGAGATCAAATTTACTCCATCACCCTGAGTTGGAGTTTGACTTTGACCAACTCCATTGACCACCTTCACATCAACAAGGCCTGTAAAATCGATCTGCACACAACAAGGGCAAATTCGGAAACCAAAAATGGAGCAGAAAGCTGTTTAAGCACACAACATACCTCTAAACTTCCATCTTCTTTATAAAGAGAGTAATTGTCTGGGCCCTCTTCATCCATCTTATCAAAAAGAATAGGATACTCTGACACCGGATTCAGAACTATGTTATTGGAATCAAAATGTGATATTTTTCCAACCTGTAATGGAAATTTAAATTTAATTTTTAATTATAAAAGAAAATTGGTGTTGTTATGATTTGTGGTTAAAAGATGTACTCTGTAGGAAGAGAGCTCAGGAGTCCAAGAAGATGATAATTCCACAAGTCGGTATGCAATCACATCACCTTCCTGCAAAATTTAAGCATGTTTGGTTGGTTGGGTGGAATGGAATTGCAAATGAATGGAATGGAATTGGGAAAGGGAAAGGGAAAGAGACCTTAGGTGAGGTGCATAGAGGGAGGTTCTCAAAGTCATTGAGGTCAACCACTGCGTCTACATTCAACATTGGAGAGGATTCTTCTTTGCTTGTTTTTTCAGACTCATCCTTTCTAGAAGCTGAATACTTTTCTAAACCCCATTTTTGACCCTTTTTCTTGCTGCTGATTCCATTCCATTCAAAAGCTACCTGAAGTACAACTCAGGAATTCAATCAAATTACAAATCACAAATTACAATATAAGAAGCTAATCATTCCCAAACATACATCTGCTACTTCAATCTCTCTTCCATCTTCATCTGTTCAACAAAGAAACCATCAAAATGTCATCTTATTACATACACAGTCACACACACACACACATACCTTCATCAAGAGGTTCAAAGCGAATATGACCTGGCTTGACTACACAAGCAACAAGTTGAGTATCCGTATTCCCATTACATTTTCTTTTTTCTTCTTCTATCAAATTCTTTTCCTGATTGAGAAAACATACGTTTATAAATGGATGATTTATTTATATCTTAGGGCACAAACCACATATTTTTCAAATATAAAATTACTAACATGCCCCTTCGGGTGGTCATTTGTCCCTTCTAGATGGGTATCACTATCAGGCTGCAATTTGAGATTGCAAGAAATGAATCAGCAGTTTATTGACAAATATATTTGAAAAAATAGTTTGTTTACCTTTTGTGAAATTTTAGTAAGTTCTCGCTTCCATTGTCTCTTAGCCTTTTTCCTTCTAGCACTTCTACTAGGGCCCTAAGGATTCATACCAAAAGTTATTTATGGTTTTGTATGATTTACATTTAACAAGCAAATAAAAATGCTGTATTTGTTTAACTAAGCATGAAAAGACCTTTTTATCCCCATCAGGTGAAGCAGATGCTTCTTCAATTCCTTGGACATTGTCTTCTAGATGTTCTTCATTCCTACATAAATTAGACAGATGGAGAACTATTCATACATAATTGTAACACTAGTCTATATACACATACATTGTATCAAGATTACAAATTACCTCTTTGTCCTTCGAGAAGATTTAACCTTTTTGTCACTTGTTTCATCATCTCCCATGTTAGCTTCCTCATTTGGTTTAATCTTCTTCTTGGTAATGATTTTATCATCATCAATGTTGCAAATTTCATCTCTAACTTCACCTTCATCACCACTCACCACTCTGTGTTTCTTCTTCCTATGAAACCCAAAGAGAGCCCAAGAACAAATTTAATAAGGAACAAGAAAACTTATATGTATATGTATATATATGTATATATATTATGAATTACCTCTTCACAAGGATTGTTTCAACACTCCCCTTCTCCTTGCTTGGTTTAATGACTTTCATGGGATAAAATTTGTCATTATTAATGTTGTTGTCCTCTGTCACAACTTCATCTTCAACACCATCCATCACTGATCGGTGTTTCTTCTTCCTATGTTTTCACAAAAGCAAACTCATGTAACTCACCCACCCAAGAAAATTCAAAGAATAAACTTGAAAGTCAACTTTATCATAAATATAACACAAATACGATATGTACATTAGATTGCATGACTTACTTTGAGCTCCTAGATGTTTTAGAGGCTTTTCTTTTCTTGGAAGCTGTTTGTATAGGTGAAGGTTCATCTTCCAACTTTTCATCTTCAGCATCCTCAGATTCACTTTGGTATCCTCCAGTTTCCTTATCAAACTCTTCGTTTGCTAGAAGTAACATGCCATTATTCACAGGTTCCTTCCTGTTGACTTCTGGATAGTCGAGTAAATTACCAGCATTTGCCCCCTCTATTGCTTCAGCCAAAGCCATTTCTTTTCTTTTCACACTGAAGTAACAAACAAACATATGTCCACTTGTTAAAGAACTAGTTACATGTTTGTATGAAGAAAGTAGTAAAAAGTTAAAAATAAAGCTGACCAAATTATTTCCTTGTCCTTCAAGATTCGAGTTGACTCAGATGGGGGCAATACAAAGTCTTCCATCTGCAAGAGGTAGAAAATAGAATTTACTTACTTTAAAAATCATCAGTGACCATAATGGGGTAAAAAATTGTTGCAGTCTTGCAGAGTTCAAGTCAAATGGATCTAGTTTCTGTTCAAAACTCACAGGGACATCAGTGGGAGAGTTGGTATTATCTCCTCCCACATGGACTGTATGTGAACTGTGAGCCCATGGTAGTAGGCTAATAATAAACTCCAGGCATGGATTTAGTTATTTGAAGGTTATCTACACTAGTTTGATGTTCAATACAAGAATTCAGCTTTTTCAGGGATAGAATGCATTGCTCATTTCACTAAGTTAAGGTAAAACTGACCATTGTAAACAGAGGTTAGGATAACAATTCTGTGTCACTTGATGATCACAATAGCTGTTCAAAAGAGAAGAAGAAGAAGAAGAAAAGGAGGAGAAAGAAGAAACAAACCCTAATCCGAACCACTAACAAAAATATTCACCACAGGGCCATTGTGATTTTCAGTTTTGATTGTTTATTAGATAAAAACTAATAAGAGTGTATTTAATATTTACCCTAAATTATATTTTAGAGGAAACGCATCCCCTTTCTTATTGTGTAATTTAAAGAGAAATGAGGTTTTGTGATTTTCTGCATCAACAACATATTGGGGTACATAGGGAGATAGAGAATTACATAGAGGAGGATGCCATTAGGGCACGAGCGACGAAGGTTGAAAATGTGAAGAAGATGATTACAGACGTCGGAGATTTTCGGATGTTGTTGTGGCTCAATTAGAAGCCAGCTCTGGTTCATACCATAGGAGCGCTGTGTTTCGCTAAGAACCGAACGATCTTCGAACACCAAACGAAGCCTTATTGACTGCGTCTCCATTTGTAACAACACTTTGTGCACTGGTAGAGCGTGTAAGATGATAATAGGCCAAGTGAGAAAAAAGAGAGAGGACCGCCGTGCGCCACCGCTCTAAAACCCCACCATCATAAACCTCTGTATCAGAGTGGTAGGCAGTAGTGCAGTGATGATGCCTTCTATATCCCTCAAGACCTCCTCTACATATCAAGACGACACCGTATACGAATATCACTTATCACTTATGGTACTAGTGTAGACTATTACTAGTAAGTTCATTTGACAAATTGTCTCAAAATAATTTACAGGCAGAGAATTTAAAATTCACCCCCAAATATTGTAACGACATGAATTTCCAAAACAATTTTTTATTTTTAAATCATACTTTTAATCATAAAACAATATCAAAACATAATGTATCCAATGTCATCATCACAAAACAATTCCCAGAATCTCAAAACATAATCTCTATGAGTGTGTACGGATCATGCCGGTGCCTTCCCGCGATCCTCGCTAGTACCTGAAACACATAACACAACAACTGTAAGCATAAATGCTTAATGAGTTCTCCAAAATACCACATACAACACATACGCCTTTCCAGGCCATAACTCTGTGGGACCTTCCGGTCCAAGTGTCTCAGGGGACTTTCGTCCCGAATCCCGGTAGACCTTCCGGTCCTACCCGTATCGACCTTCCGATCCGTAACCTCCTGACCTTCCGGTCCTTATCATACATAACATACATAACACATACATATCACATAACAACATACAGCACATACATCTCATAGCATATAAGACCTTCCGGTCACACATAGGTACCCTTCCAGGTACAGTATAGTGAGAAGACTCACCTCGAATGAAGTCGGATAAACTCTCGTGCTCAACGTCCCGACCTAGCTCCTCCTATCATTCAAATACCCGATCAATACTCTCTCATAGTCTCATCCCTAAGGATTGGGTAGAAGACCATTCTACCCCTCCCTGAATTCTCTTGAATCAGCCTTGACCAAAACCCTAAGGTCAACTGAAGTCAACAGTCAACATTGACCCGACTCGTCGAGTATACATGGGCAACTCGGCGAGTCCATGCGGGTCCTCTGAATCCTTCTAGCCTCGCTTGGCACGTCGATTCATCCCTTCACTCGACGGGTCACGCCTGGCACGAATCGCGGGGGCAACCCCGACTCGACTCGTCGAGTCCACTTATGAACTCGGCGAGTTGCTTCCATGCTCACACTCAAATGACCTTCTGAGGTCAGATCTGCTTCTCTAACCTATAGATCTGACCTTCCCAAGCATGATAATCACGTAAAGGTCCGAACTTTAGGCTCATGCATCACACTATCATCTCTATATGCCAAAATAACTCTTAATATGATAACCTAGGCCCCAAAACTCATAAAGGATTGCATAAAGCTGAAGAATAGGGACTCTCTGGACCTCTCAAGGTCCAGATCTGATAATATTGTCACAATGGGACATCACACACTAGATCTCTTACCAAAAGAGAAGAGAAGAAACCCTAGATTCATGAAATCTATTACTTAATGAAGATGGACATGAATCCTTACCTCCCACAGCAGCTCTGAACGAAATGATGGAAGATTTGAGTCCCACAAGTCAGCCTAGCTCGAAATCCTTCCTTCCCTTTGCTAAAACACACCAAAGAATGATGAATTAGTCCTCCTCTTGCACTACAAGCTTTCTCTCTGCTCTCTAGGGTTTCTCAGGGGTGTAGTGGCCGCAAATGAAGGCCATAAAGGCCTTTAAATAGGGCATAGGCCCCGAGATTTAGGGTTTCTGCCGCCAGCACAGACTCGTCGAGTCACCAAGCCGACTCGTCGAGTCCAATCATTAATCTAGTCAGCAAATCGCGATCCTACTCGACGAGTCTAGGCGCCAACTCGTCGAGTCCTTCTCTCTAACTCAAAATAAATGAACAATATAGAATACCTGGGAATCCGGATGTTACAATTCTCCCCCACTAGAATCAGACTTCGTCCTCGAAGTCTCGCTCGGCAAACAACTCGGGATGCTGCTTCCGCATTTCCAACTCCGGCTCCCAAGTCAACTCGGACCCTCTCCGATGTTGCCACTGGACCTGAACCAGAGGCACCTCCTTGTTCCTCAGAACCTTGATCTTTCGATCCAGGATCGCGATCGGTCTCTCAACATAATTCAGGCTCGCATCCACCTGAATATCCTCCAGCGGCACCACCGCCGACTCGTCGGCTATACACTTCCTCAACTGAGACACGTGGAAGGTATCATGAATCTGGCTCAACTCCGCAGGTAGCTCCAACCGATACGCTACCCTGCCCACCCTCGCGGTCACCCTGAACGGCCCAATGTACCGGGGCCCCATCTTGCCCCTCTTCCTGAATCGAATCACTCCTTTCCAAGGAGACACCTTCAGGAGTACGAAGTCTCCTGCCTGGAACTCAAGCTCGGATCGTCGCCTATCCGCATAACTCTTCTGGCGACTCTGAGCTGTCAACAACCTCTGTCTAACCTGTTGTATCTGCTCGGTCGTCTGAAGCACTATCTCAGTGTTGCCCATCACGCGCTGCCCTACCTCTCCCCAGCAAATGGGAGTCCGACACCTTCTCCCATACAACAACTCGAAGGGAGGCATACCAATACTCGAATGGTGGCTGTTGTTATAGGAAAACTCAGCCAACGGCAAATACGTGTCCCAACTTCCTCCGAAGTCCAACACACATGCCCGAAGCATGTCCTCGAGCGTCTGAATCGTCCGCTCACTCTGTCCGTCCGTCTGTGGGTGGTAAGCGGTACTGAAAGGCAGCCTCGTGCCCAACTCCTCGTGGAACTTCTTCCAGAACCTGGAAGTGAAACGTACATCTCGATCTGACACAATCGAGATCGGTACTCCATGCCGCGATACCACCTCCCTCACATACAGCTCTGCCAGTCTCTCCGCAGAAGAGCTCTCACTGATAGCAAGGAAGTGAGCGCTCTTCGTCAGCCGGTCGACAATCACCCAAATTGCATCGACACCCCTCGCGGTCCTTGGTAATTTGGTGATAAAATCCATGGAAATTTGTTCCCACTTCCACTGGGGAACCTCAAGTGGCTGCAACTTGCCGTGCGGACGCTGGTGCTCAGCCTTAACCCTACGACAGGTCAAGCACCTCTCAACAAACCATGCTACATCCCTCTTCGTACAGGGCCACCAATAATCTTTCTTCAGGTCCAAATACATCTTAGTGGCCCCGGGATGGATCGAGAACCTCGATTTGTGCGCCTCCTCCATCAAGGTGGACGTGCCCCACCTGCATATGGCACCCAAATCCGACCCTGAAAGGTCATAAGCCCGCGGCTATCGGTAATGAACTCAGGTACCTGCCCGATCACCCGTTCCCTCTTACGGTTCTCCGGTATCACGGCCTCTTCCTGGGCCTCCCGAATGGTGTCCAACACCGGAGTCATCACCGTCAACCGCATACAAATGTCTCGAATCGGGGCACTCTCCGCCCTACGGCTCAGGGCATCAGCTACAACATTAGCTTTGCCCGGGTGGTACAGGATCTCACAATCGTAATCCTTTACAACATCCAACCATCTCCTCTGGCACATATTCAGGTTGGGCTGATCCATCAAATACTTCAAGCTCTTATGGTCCGTGTATATGGTACACTGAACCCCATACAGATAGTGACGCCAGATCTTGAGGGCGAACACCACTGCCCCCAACTCCAGATTGTGGGTGGGATACCTCGTCTCATGAGGCTTCAGCTTCCTCGATGCATACGCTATCACATGCCCCCTCTACATAAGTATTGCACCCAACCCCGATATCGATGCGTCACAATACACCACAAAATCCTCCATCCCTTCCGGGAGGGCTAACACCGGGGCCTCGCATAGTCTCTGGCGAAGTGTCTCAAACGAGGTCTGCTGCTCCGGACCCCACGAAAAAGCAACACCCTTCCGGGTCAACCTGGTGAGAGGCACGGCAATCTTGGAGAAATCCTTGATAAATCTCCGATAGTAGCCGGCCAATCCTAGAAAACTCCTGATCTTGGTGGGTGATCTCGGCACCTCCCACCTCATAACCGCCTCAATCTTGGTCGGATCGACCAATATCCCATTCTGGTTAACGAGGTGTCCCAAGAACTGGACCTCTCGTAACCAAAAATCACACTTGGAGAATTTGGCGAAAAGCCTCTCCGACCTCAATACCCCGAGAATCTCTCTCAGATGCTCCTCATGCTGCTCTCTAGATCTCGAATATACCATAATATCGTCGATGAACACGATCACCGACCGATCCAGCATCGGCCTGCACACCCTGTTCATGAGATCCATGAACGATGTCGGTGCATTGGTGAGCCCAAAAGGCATCACCACGAACTCGTAATGCCCATAACGAGTTCTGAACGTCGTCTTCTGGATATCTTCATCCCGCACTCTCATCTGATGATATCCAGACCTCAAGTCTATCTTGGAGAACTAAGACGCTCCCTGCAACTGATCGAACAAATCGTCGATCCTCGGTAATGGATAACGGTTCTTGACCGTCAACTTGTTCAACTCCCGGTAATCAATGCACATCTGGTGTGAACCATCTTTTTTCTTGACAAAAAGGATCGGCGCTCCCCACGGTGAGCTACTCGTTCTAATAAACCCCTTCCCCAGCAGCTCCTGAAGCTGCGAGGATAACTCCTGCATCTCTGGCGGCGCAAGGCGATAAGGCGTCTTGGCGATAGGCGCTGCCCCCGGAACCAAATCGATGCGGAACTCTACCTGCCTCTCGGGAGGCACACCCGACAACTCCTCGGGAAAAACATTTGAGAACTCGCGCACTATCGGAACATCATCAATCGAACTTGGCCTCTCAGCGGCCACTCGTGTATCCATCACATAGGCTACAAACCCACTGCAGCCCTGCTGTAAGCTCTGTCTCGCTCTGGCAGCCGAACAAAATGCTGACCCACATCGGGTGCCCTCGCCGTACACCGTAAGTACTCCCCCACTAGGATCTCGTATCATCACCAACTGTCGCTCGCAGTCTATGACAGCCCCAAATCGGCTCAACCAATCCATGCCCACTATGACACACACGTCCCCCATCGCAATCGGGACCAGATCTATCGGGAACTCAACACCGAAGATCTCGAGTACACATCCTCGAATCACATCCGTAGCATACACC